AAGAATATGGTCTGCTCCTGTAAAGATTTGCAACCAGAAAGAGTTGGCTCAGAATTGGCTTTAGGGATTTTTTAAGGAAGCAATATATCATGGAAGTAGTCTGGTTGGACTCAAGAGTTAAAAGGGCTTGGGTTTGAATCCAGAAAATCTACCACTTCTAAGCTGTATGACTTCAGACAAGGGTCTTAGCCCCTCTCTGTGAGCCCCCACATTCCCATGTTTAATATGGGAGTAGGAACAAATGCAAACCTAGAGTTGCTATAATCAAGGATGCTTTGGGCAGAATATTAAATGATCCAGGAAGTATTAAAAGAAGATGGAAGGAATATACTGAGTCATTGTATAGAAAGGAATTGGCAGATACAGAAGAATTTAATGAAATAACATATGAGCAAGAGCCTATGGCGATGAAGGAAGAAGTTCAAGCTGCTTTGAAGGAAACAGCAAAAAATAAGGCCCCAGGAATAGATGGTATACCAATTGAAGTATTTCAGATAACAGATGTTGCCCTGGATATGCTCACCAAGTTGTGCCAAGAAATCTAGAGAATAACCACTTGGCCAACTGACTGGAAGAGATCTATATTTGTTCGCATTCCAAAGAAGGGTGACCCAACTGAGTGTGGAAACTACAGAACAGTGTCATTTATTTCACATGCAAGCAAGATTCTACTGAAGATTATCCAAAAACAACTAGAACAGCACATCAGCAGAGAATTGCCGGAAGTCCAGGCTGGGTTTAGAAGGGGTCATGGTACTAGGGATATTGTTGCTGATGTTAGATGGATCTTGGCTGAAAGCAAGGAATACCAGAAGAATGTCTATCTGTGTTTCATTGATTATGCAAAGGCGTTTGACTATGTGGATCATAACAAACTGTGGCTGACTCTGAGAAGAATGGGAATCCCAGAACATTTAATCGTGCTAATGCGAAACCTATACTTGGACCAAGAGGCAGTAGTCAGAACAGGGCAGGGTAACACTGCATGGTTCAAAATTGAGAAGGGTGTACGCCAGGGATGCATCCTGTCTCCATATCTTTTCAACATGTATGCAGAGCAGATTATCCAGGAGGCTGGGCTCTATGAGGAGAATTGTGGCATCAGGATTGGTGGAAGATCTATTAACAATCTGCGTTATGCAGATGACACAACCCTGCTTGCTGAAACTGAGGAGGACCTCATGCACTTGCTGTGGAGGGTCAAGGACTGCAGCCTTCAGTATGGACTGAGGCTCAATGTCAAGAAGACAAAGATTCTCACCACTGGACCAATTGGCAGCGTCAGGATGGATGGCAAAGAGATTGAGATTGTTCACAGTTTCAGTTTGCTCGGCTCCACAGTCAACACTCTTGGCACCAGCAGTCAGGAAATCAAAAAAGCGTATTGCGATTGGAAAGTCTGCTGTTAGGGACCTCTCTAAAGTACTGAAGAGAAATGGTGTCTCTCTGGAGACTAAGGTGCACCTGATACAGGCCATGGTCTTTGCAATCGCTTGTTATGCATCAGAGAGTTGGACAATGACTAGGGAGGGCCAAAGGAGAGTTGATGCCTTTGAGCTGTGGTGCTGGAGAAGAGTACTGAATGTACCATGGACTGCCAGGAAAACAAACAGATTCATCTTGGAGAGGATTAAACCAAGCAACTCCTTGGAGGCAAGGATTCTGGGGCTTCGTCTGACATACTTTGGACATGTTGCCAGGAGGGACGGGTCCTTGGAGAGGGACATCATGCTTGGGAGGGTGGAGGGACGGCGCAGGAGGGGAATATCCTCTATGAGATGGATTGATTCGGTGACTGGGGTAATCAGGATGGGTGTGTCAGAGGCAGTGCGGTTGGCACAGGATAAAGCAGGGTTCAGGGCTGTTGTGCATAGGGTCGCTATGAGTCGCAAACGACTCGATGGCACGTAACAACAACAACAACAGAAGCTTGGACAAAACAACAGTTGATACCGGGTGGTTAGTGGGAAGGTTGGCGATTGGAACTCATCTCCTGGCTACACTGGAGAAAGGAACTGGCAGTGGCTTCCATAAAGATTTCAACCTAGAAATCATATAGGGCAGTTGTACACTCTCATTGGGTTGTTGTTGTTGTTGTCAGTACAATTGTATGAGTTGAGTACTATTCATAACAACCCTATGAACAATAGATCTGAACCCTGTAATTTCCTGTGTCGTCTTCATGCTTCCTGACATTCTAGAGCCCATTGCAGCAGTCATTGTGTCAATCCATCTAGTTGAGAGCCTTCCTCTCTTTCATTGACCTCTACTTTTCCAAGCATGATGCCCTTCTCCAAGGAATAGCTTCTCCTGGCAACGTGCCCAAAGTATGTGAGATGAAACTTTATCATCTTTGCATCCAAAGAGCACTCTGGCTGTACATTTTCCAAGACATAACTGTTTGTTCTTTTGGCAGTCATGGGATATTCAGTGCTCTTCTCCAACATCACAGCTCAAAGACATCAATTCGTCTTCTGTCATTCTTATTTATTGTTCAGCTATCAGATGCATAACAAGTGATCAGAAAGACCATGGCCTGAATCAGAATCACCATAGTCCTTAAACTGACATCATTGCTCCTAAGTAATTTGGAGAGGTCTTTGACTACAAACTTTGCCAGTGCAATATGTCTCCCAATCTCCTGATTGCTGGTACCAAGGGTGTTGATTGTGGATCCAAATAAGATGAAATCATTGCCAACTTCAATCTTTTCTTCAACTATCATGATGTTGTCTATAGGTTCAGTAGTAAAAATTTTGTTTTCTTGACATTGAGATGCAATACATTTGAAAGACTGTATTCTTTGATCTGCAGCAAGTGCTTCAAGTCCTCCTCACTTTCAGCAAGCAAGGCTGTGTCATCTGCATAATGGAAGTTACTGATGAGTCTTCTTCTGATCTTAGAGCCACATTCTTCATCATAGAGAGCAAAAGGTTATTATGAAGACAGAGAAGTTTTTAAAACTAAATGGATGTCGGAAGAGACTCTGAAGATTGTATCAGGGCATCGAAAAGCCAAAACAACTTGGAAAAAATACTGACGTAAAACAGCTAAATAGATTGCAAAGGGCATGTTGAGAAGACAAAGCAAAGTATTATAATGGAATGTGTAGAGAACTGGAATTGGAGGATAAAAAGAGAAGAACTCACTCTGCATTTTTCATGCTGAGAGAACAGAAAAACAAATTTAAGCCTGGAGTTGTAATATTGATGCCATAGGAAGTATGTTGAATGATCCAGGAAGTACCAAAAGAAGATGGAGGGATTACACAGAGTCACTGTACCAAAAAGACCTGACTGACAGAAAGTACTATATGAACAAGAGCCAACAGTAATGTAAGAAGAAGTTGAAGTTGCACTGAAGGCATTGGCAGAAAAATAAGATCCCAGGAATCAATGGGATACTAATTGTCATGTTTCAACTAAAAGATGCAGCCCTGGGTGTGCTCACCAGTCTATGCCAGGAAATTTAGAGGACAGCTGTCTGGTCAACTGCATGTGGAACCTATCAAACAATATCATTACTATCATATGCAAGAAAACACTGCTGAAGATCATTTTAAAAAAGGCTAGAACAGTACATAGAGAGGGAACTGCCAGAAGTTCAAGCAGGATTTTAGAAGAGGTTGTAGCACCAGGGATATCATTGTTGATGTCTCATGGGTCCTGGAGGAAAGCAGAAAATATCATAAAAAAAATGTCTATTTATATTTTATTGACTGTGCAAAAACATTTGACTGTGTGGATTAGAACGAGTTATGACTAGCCTTGACAATGGGAATCCCCGAACACTTGTGTTCAAGTGAAACCTATACCAAGAAGCTAGTGTGTAAATAGAGCAAAAGAATACGCATAGCTTAAAATTAAGAAAGGAATGTGTCAGGATTGTAGCTTCCTCCATAACTATTCAAATTGTATGTTGAGCAAATTATGCGAGAAGCTGAACTCTACAAGGGTTGCTAAGAGTCTGCATTAACTTGCCAGCAATCCAACAACAGGGGGACACAACGTACGAATTGTCTCCCAAAGTTACTGAGAGAGTTGAACTCAATTCCACATGTAAACTATAGCCAGAACCTTTTGAAGAACATGCACTCCCTCACTCCTTGCTAGCAAGTTGGAACCAACTCCTAGCAGATCCTCCATCAGGTTTTCGGAGGAAAACACCAGAGCTCCCTTCAGGAGCATTGTTGTTGTTATGTACTGTTAAGTTGGAACTGACTCACAGCTGACCCTCCAGTGCTGTAAATGCACAGAATATAGCCTGTTTTTCTCCCTAAGAGTAACTATCACAGCTGACCCTCCAGTGCTGTAAATGCACAGAATATAGCCTGTTTTTCTCCCTAAGAGTAACTAGTGGTGGATTTGAATTGCCTGTCTTTGAGTTGCCAATGCAAACCCTGGCCCACTAGGGCACTTCAAGAGGCTCCTGGTAGACCTGACACTGCATTATGGGTCCATAACAGGCAAATCTGCAGCCCTTTTGAATCATAACTCTGATGACTTCCATGCAAATAGGTCCTAACTACCTGAACCCCAGTTCCCAGGCCAACCTGACCTGAGTTTCTTTGTCGTCATCCTCCTCCAACACACTCCATTTTGCTAAAGCCTCCGAGATAATTTCTCACCTAAAATCTCAAGGTGCCCACCCTAGAGCCCCTTCCACAAACCCACCTCAGTATAAATGGGAAAGCTGGGTAGGTAACAAAGGAAAAAATAGAAGTAAAAAAGGGGGGCAGGGAGCCAATGAAATATGTGTGTGAGATTCCTGGGCTTGTGGAGGGGGCAGAACAGGCCAAGCTAGCCCCACCTGCCAGCTTCCTGTCTTTGCCTACTGACAAATAGGGGATACCAATGGCCAGATTTTCCATTCCCCCCCACCCTGGCCCCCGCCGTCACTCAGTCAAAAAAAGATAGCGGGAGAGGACTTGGGGGAAGGGCAGAGGCCTCTGGTTATAAAGCCTGTGGCCGAGGGGGTGGCAGCACTCAGCTTGGCTTCCACCCATCCTCCTCCGCCAGATTTAGCTGCTGACAGCTGCTGGGGACCCTGCCGCCAGGCCTGGTCCAGACAACTGCCTCTCCTCTCTCCCCCTCTAAGTCCTGAGCCGCAGCCCCTCCATGGCCCAGAAGGAAGAAGCCTCTGCAGCCGAAGCGTCCGCCTCCCAGAATGGAGAGGACCTGGACAACTTGGAGGACCCTGAGAAGCTGAAGGAGCTCATCAAGCTGCCACCCTTTGAGATCGTCACAGGGTAAGGCTGAGGGGAGTGCACGTCCTCCTTTGCCAGAAGGGCGCTGGCTGGGGGCAGGCTGCTGGCATTTAGAACTGTAATGGTAGGGGTCACGGGCAGGGGCGTGGTGGGGCACAGGGCATGGGGCTATTAGTTTTCCATGGCGAAACCTTGAGCTCTCTTTGGGGAAGTGATGTGGGGAGCTCCCTGGAGGCAAAGGCCCTAAGAATAAAGCCACCCCTCAGGCCTCTGGGTGTTAGACAGCCAGTGTTGTTTAGTCCTAAGAACTTTAAAGACAGAGGATGAGACTGGCATGTTTAAATATGGCCCCAGTTCAAGCACCCTCTCCCCTCAACCACCTCTCTCCCTGCTTCTGAGGGGGGCCTCTCCTCTATCTATTTGTAGAGCCCTCTTTCCCCAAGGTTGAGTAAGACACATTTGTTGTTGTTGGGTTGTTTCTACGTCCCGCCCCCCCCCCACACACACACACGGGGGGGGGGGGCTATCCACTTCCACCCTAAGGAGACAAAAGTGAACACAGAGGTGGTACAGCCAAGTTCAAATAGATGGAGCAGGGGTTCTGATACTACCAGTCACCACCTGGAGGAAAAGGGGCCCAGAGCAAAGGATCTTGGGTTTCCAAAAGGAGTCAGGGTTGGGGTACTCTGTCTTATTCAGATTGTGTTGCTTGTAGAATTAAAACCAAATCATCATCCTTTTCCTCCTTCTTTCATTTCCATAGTGTAAGACCCTGCTGAATTCCCAAGCAAAACAAAACATAAAGGGATATTTGGGTAGCTCCAGGGACTCCTATGGCATGGGGTACCTTGCAATGTCCATGGTGGGGAGAGGCAGGCTCCAGCCACAATAGCCCTTAAGGGCAGCTGGAGCCCTGGATGGCCGTTCACACTTGTTGCTTTAAGTTGGGGAAGTGATTTTCTATCTGGGCCTTGGCATTTTCATTTGTAAAATGAGGATATTGCATTAGTTCAATCCTAAGACCCCTTCCAGCTCGGTGCCTTTGTAATTTCTAAGACAGCCAAAGGGAAATGCATCCTAGTTCCTGAAGTCTGAGCAGCCCCCTGAACTTCTGTTTGACCATGCCCACCCGCTTGACCTTGTCCCCAGTCCAGAATTAAAGGAGCCATTGGGCACAGATTAAGACAGACATGGGGAAAGCTCAGGGCAGCCAGGCCAAGAGAGTCCCTCAATTCCAAATCTGGGAGATCCTTTTGCTAGCACCTACGCATGCTGGTCATGCTGTCCTTGGTCTCTCTCTCACTCTCACACACAACAGTTGGGCTGTTTGTTGAGGTGAATAGGCTTTGGGGTCTCAGGTGTGGTGGATCCTCAAGAGTAAGTCCTCTGACGTCACATTGCTCTAGGGTTTGATAAACCACAAAAGATTTTCCTATGTGAGCTAATTCACAGGACTGTGGTAGAAGGAAATCTGTCATTGCTCATTTAGCGCAGTGGTTAAAATTCTCAGCTCCTAACCAAAAGGTGAGTGGTTCAAACCCAATCTTTCTCCCAGCCATTCCCTGGGAATTAGATGTGCGGTCTGATTTTATTAGGATTTACAGGCTTGGAAGACCATGAGACAGTTCTACTCTGTCCTATAGCGTGGCTGTGAGTGGGAATCGACTCCATGGCAACAGGTGTTCTGGTTTATAGATGGAGAAACTGAGCCTTAAGAAGTTTGAGTGACATGACAAGATCTCACAGCCTGTAGAAAGGAGGTCTTTTGGCTGCTACACAAGTGTTTTTTTCCACTGCCTGTTTATTCATTCTGGCTTTCAGGTTCCCTAGACAGAGCTCCACCTCTTGCCATCTGTGAGGTAGTGAGGGCCAGATACTTCCACATCTCAAAATGCAGAGCAAAGGCACTCAGGGCAGCTACAGGGTGCAGTGAGATCGGTTCAGGTGGGACGTAAGGCCCTGACTGTTTCCAGGCCATGAACAACAGCTCTCCAGCTCCTGTCTCCTGTGCTCCTCTGGGTAAATAAATGTCCTAAAATAGCCCAGAGGTGTGGCTGTGTCTGTGCTGAAGGGAAGAACTTTCCTTTTAAAGTTTTTAAGTTTCCTTTTGTCTTTTAAAGTCAGTGGGGCCAGCACAGCAGTTCCTTTCCTATTCTAAATCCCACAGGGAGTGAATCTACCTGTAGCATCCCGTAGAGTCAGACTTGACTCTAATCCTGGCTGCCAGCCAGTGACCTCCAAGTCATGGCAGTCCCATGTCTGTCAGAGAGTTTTCTGTGGTTGCTATTTTGGAAGTAGCCAGACCTTTCTTCTGAGGCACGTCTGGGCTACATAGGGTTTCAGTGGCTGCTATTTCGGATGTAGTAGCCAGGTCTTTCTTCTGAAGCACCTCTGGATGGACTCAAACCTCCAACCTTTTGGTTAGCAGTTGAGCAGAGCCCATCAACCATTCATACCACCCATTGGCTCCAAACTGGCAGAGAATAAGAAGCTTTTCAGGAAACAAAGCCAAAGAAGGAGTATGTGGTAGGAATATAGAGCGCTTAGGAAAAGAAAATAGTCCTGAGAACATTAATAACATCAGAGAGAGTTAGTGGAGGGGAACAAAAGGTCTGTAATTGCAGTGAAGCTTGCAGGGGAGCCAAGTTGCATTCACTTGAAAGTCCACTGTATACATCTCTCAGTGAACACTGGTGGCTTGAAATTAGTCCTAATACACAAATAATACCCGTTGCCATCTAGTTGCCCTAACTCACAGTGGTACTTGTGAGGCTGTAAGTCTTAAGGGGAGAAGACTTCCCAACAACTGTCTCCTCCAGAGGACCTAGTGGGTCCACCCTACTGGCTTCTGGCTACCAGTGCAACAAGCTACACACCACACCACCAGGGCTCTTCAAGGCAGTCCTCGTAAGAGTATTGACAAAAGAACCATGCGATGTAGTGCATGATGTACAGGCTTGCTAACCACAAGCTCGACAATTCGAATCCAGCTGTCTGGCAGTGTCTTTCTCAATGGGAAGTCTCCTCCAGCAAATATTTACAGTCTTAGAAATTCAATGGCTGTAGGAGCATTTACACTGTGGAGATGGGAAAATGCAGGAAGTGGAAAATTTTTTCCCCTCTCCTTAGAGAGTTTGGTACTGAACACTTCCCAGAGCACTCCTGAAAGAGAAAGCTCTGAATGTGAGAGGAAGGGTCAGGGATCAGGTTTGGTAATGATTACGCTAGAATACTCAAAGATACCAAGGCAAGAGAAGGCAACATCCCCGTAATACTATTGTTTATTGAGTCAACTGTTCTGTTGTCCAAGTCTTTAAAGGCTGGAGTACGTGTCCTGTCCATAGGGAACTCTTGTGGCTTCATGAAAAGGGATTTGTTGTTAACCGAAAGGCAAAATCCATCAAAAATCAAAATCCACTGCTGCTCCAAGGAAGATGGATGGGCAAGCTCCTGTGTGATTTGCTGCCTGTGAAACCCCCCTGGAGGGTCAGCTGAGTCAGGTCCAACCTGACAGTAACCGACGACAACCTTCAGAGGAAGAAATGAAGCCTCAGAGATGAGTAATTTGCCTACAACTACTGGTGGGGTAAAGCAGGAACTCCAGGGCTGACTGGTTCTGTATCAACAAACTTTATTTAAAAAACATAAAGAAGATACTTTTTGAAAAACACACTTGACTTTGTAGAGCCCTTGTTTCATCAGGTTGGTTCTGACACATGGGGTACAATGGCACCAGACACTGTATACAGTCCTGCACCATCCTCACCAACACTGTTACACAGAAGTCCACTATTGCTGCCCCTGTCGGACCATCATCTCATTGAGGGTCTTCCTCTTTTTTGCTGACACTTTCTTTTCAAAACATATTTCAACAGAAAAAGTGCACAGAACATAGACTTCCTCTAGGCCTTCTCCCCCATGTGCAGAGTTTCTCTTTTTACTGATTTCTTGAATTTGTGTGATACATTGGTTATGACTATTAGGTTAATTATTGATCCATTATTATTCACTAAAGTGAACGGTTAACATCATAGTTCACTCTTTGGGGTGTACTCTGTTGTAGTTGTTATGTGTTGTTGAGTCGCTTGCAACTCATAGTGACCTGATGTATAACAGCTCTGAACTCTGCTCTATCCTGAGCCAACTTTATTGTCTCTGCCACACCTACCACCATAAGCCCAGTCACTGAATAAATCCATCTCCTCAAGGGTCTTCCTCTCTTGTGCTGTCCCTCTACTCTCCCAAGCATGATGTCCCTCTCCAAGGTCTGGTTCCTCCTTGCAACTTGCCCAAAGCACATCAGACAAAGCCTCAGAATCCTTGCCTCCAAGGAGCAGCCTGGTTTCACCTTCTCGAGGATGAACTTGTTTATCTAGGAGTCTATGGTGTATGGATGTTGACATATGTGTAATATTAGGTGCCTACCATCACATTGGAGCGCTTGTTAGGCTTTTTCTTTTTGTTGTTATGTGCCATCTAGTAAGGAATTGAGCTGAGTTCAAATCCACCAGCTTATCCTCGGGAGAAAGATGGGCAGTCTCCTCCAGTGTGATTTACTGCCTTTGAAAGTCTGCTACATGGTCTGCTATGGGTTGGTTCTGACTTGATGGTACACAACCACCACCATCACATTAGGGAGTTCTGGAGGCCTAGTGATAAAGAGTTGCACTGCCTACCTGAAGGCACACAATTTGAATCCATCAGCTGCTCCACAGAGAAAAGATGGGCACTCTCCTCCCATGCAATTTACTGCTTCTGAAAATCCGCTGGAGGGTCAGCTATGTGTTGGTCCTGACTGCATGGTACACAACCACCGCCACCATAATTACACTATCACACAGGCATGAGTGAACTAGTGTCCAGTTCTAATGCTGTTGATTACTCACGGTGACTGTCACAGATTGAATTGTGTCTCCTCAGAATGCAGGCATATAATGTGGAAGTTATGTAAAGATACCCTTGATCTGGTCAGCCAAATAGCTGTAGAAGAATTAATGGTGGAATCCAATACTTCTCAATCCCATCACAGGGAGAGAAGTTTC